TATATATAGATATAATTCTTAATGTAATCAATCAACTGAGGACATATGGTGAGTTTTTTTAGTTATTAGTTAGTTAGTTAGTTAGTTAGTTGTGTTTGAGTTAGTTATTAATTAGAAGTATGGCGATAACTATTAGTAATCCTGGGATGTCTTGCCTTAATTTAGCAGATGATTTTGTTCAAAGCAAATTGCTTATGAGAAAAGACACAAGGTATTTAATTTAATTTTAAAAAGAAAAAAAAAACTGAATAACAAAACAAGATAAAGTTTACATTCATGCATTTGACAGATGCTTTTATCCAAAGCGACTTACAATGCATTCAAGGTATCCAGTTCATGCATTTCCTGGGAATCGAACCTTTGACCTTGGTGTTGTTAGCGTCATGCCGTACTGTTTGAGATACAGGAATGCTGCAAAATAAAAATAAAATAAATCATAAAATTAATAGATACTTTTAATTGAATCCATCATGTACAGTGTAGGTCAAAAACACATAAACGGTCTACATTTCACTGTCTCTCCATATTAAACTGGTTAAATGTACATTAATTTAATCGTACCCTGCGATACATGAACAGTGTTGATCTGGGATGTTGTCATCTGCGATCGTGACGGCCGTAAGATGAGACTTCTCCTGTTTGTATTGTGATCTGTAAACCCTCGCTTCGAGTTACCCACCGTATTTATTTTAAAATATTTTATCCCTCCATGGAACATTTAATTCCCACTTGAATGGTGGCCCTTCTGTGTCCAAAATTGTGCAAAAACATAGTGGGACAAGGTTTTCACACTGTAAGAGAGTGAGCAACTCCGTTTGTTTGTCTGAGGGAGCAACAGTAACTAAGGGGGGCGGGGCTTACGATAGGTCAATTAGGGTTGAACCACTGATGTCACATGGACCATTTTAATGATGTCCTTACTACCTTTCTGGGCCTTGAATGTGTCAGTTCCATTGCTGTCTATGCAGGGTCAGAAAGCTCTCGGATTTCATCAAAAATATCTTAATCTGTGTTCTTGTGTTCACCCTCATTATCTTAATGAGGGTGAGTAATTAATGACAGAATTTTCATTTGTGGGTGAACTAACGCTTTAATGGCCGGTTTCTCAAGTCTCAACTTCAGCAGTACTTACATACATAAAAACGTACAGTTTTATTTCCCATATATTCTGAAGGGTTTAACAGAGGGGTTTGTTCATATATCATTCTTCTGAGTTTATACAACATTTTTTTCCTAAAATCATGGTTATATATATATATATATGTATATATATATTACTCTGGATGTTGATAATATTTTCTGATTTATGGATCAATAAAATTAGATATCCAAAATCCCCAATGTAAAAACCTTTGACTCTAATATGTCAACAGAATAAAACAACCATTTTGAATCTGGATTTATCCAGTATTCTATTCTGGAATGTTATGCAAATTAGTGCATATTTAATTAGAGTATGCTTCATTTGCATATTTAAACATAATATCTCAGAGTATCCAGTTCATGCATTTCCTGGGAATCGAACCTTTGACCTTGGTGTTGTTAGCGTCATGCCGTACTGTTTGAGATACAGGAATGCTGCAAAATAAAAATAAAATAAATCATAAAATTAATAGATACTTTTAATTGAATCAAATGTTATTCTATGTTGCAAAAATACATTTTAGTTAACCCTTTTCACAGACTGTGATCAAGCAATTCTATAATTATCAGCATTGCAAATGTAGTAAAGTTTTTCATATATATATATTTTTTTTAATGTATTATGCATTTATAATGACATATTTTGTTTTGTATTACCGTGGCAGTAAATTACAAAATAAATAAATTAATAAATTAAAAAATAATAATAGGATTTTAATTGATTAGGAATGCTGTTGCGCAAGTGTTTCTAATACAACGGCTGAGGGAGTGAGAATTTGACATCTCTTGACTTCTGATTTCTGTAATCATTCCCTCTAGATTTTCCCTATTTTTGGAAAGTCATGGAAATGCTATCATGGACTTTTTTTCTTTTGCTTTTGGAGCAAATGAGAATACAAAAATGATATCTGCTGTCATCTCCCGTTCACTACTGTAGCAGTTTACTGACTATGACGACTTCCTCTTCTGAGAACCTCAGAAATGTGAAAAGGATCCATTGTATTTTTAATTTGCAAAAATACATTTTAGTTGTGAAATAAACATTTTAAAATAGCACATACAAAATCTTTTTAAGCCACACAATAGCTTTGGGTGAGCAACCATTTTTGCTTATTTTTTATAAATGGTCTGAGTGAACTCGGTTTTGTCCACATAGAACATCAAACTAGATAAAAAAATAAGAAGAAAGTGTCATATGTGTCCTTTAAAGACACAAAGTAGCAGCACAAAGAGCATTTTTATTGGCCTCCACTGGAGGTCTCTGTGTTTGTGTAATTCAGGTCAGTGGCACATTCTGAGAAATACCACAGGAGAAGAATCAAAGGAAAAGAGGAGCTCAGATGCCTCCTTCTGAGAAACCACTGACGATTTCCTCATTATTTATCTGACACATCTGCGCTTTATTGGAAAGTCAAAGAGAACGAAAGTTTGATGGTCAAAGATTTGTACAGTGAAAGTCTGATTCCCTTTTGTACAATTACATTTTTAATATTTAAAGGGGTCATATGATGCAATTTCAGTTTTTCCTGTCTCTTTGGAGTGATACAAGCTCTTGGTGCATAAAGAAGATCTGTAAAGTTGCAAAGACTAAAGTCTCAAATCCAAAGAGATATTCTTTATAAAAGTTAAGAGTCAGCCACGCCTACCTAAAACGCCTCGTTCTAACACGCCCCCACATGTCTACGTCACTATTTGGGCGGCGTTATGCAACTCTTCCCACATCTTCACGCAAAGAAAGAAGGCGTAACTTTTATTCTCGCTGTAGTATTGTTGCCGCCGCCACCATGTCGTGAAGGCGCTGTGTTTTGTTGTGAAAGCGAAGCTACTTTGTTTGGCCTTCCAAAAGAGGACGATATCGCTTCGTCATACCTGGAGCTGACCCGTGCTGGTCGCTGAGGAAATGCATCAGCTTCGCGCTGTGGATCGCTGGATCGGCTTTCACCGTGGACGAAGCGGAGTCCAGCCTGGGGTCATCACATGTGGTTGCCGCAGGCATCACAGTATGGTGAGGGGCGTAACATTTCCGTCTCACGCTTGAGGTATTCGGCCAATCACAACGCACTGGATAGCTGGCCAATCAGAGCACACCTCACTTTTTCAGACCGATGAGCTTTGTAAAAATCGACGCGTTTCAGAAAGGCGGGGCATAGAGGAGAAACAATAATGTACAGTGTGTGGAAAATAATGTGTTTTTTTAACCTTAAACCGCATAAACACATTTCATTACACCAAATACACAAAATAATGTTCTTTTTAGCAGCATCATATGACCCCTTTAATATTGTATTTTTTATTGTATTTTTTTATTTAGATTTATTTGGGCAACATCCCTGTAGCTCAAACACAACAGCATGTTGCTAGCAACACCAAGGTCATATATATATTTATACAAAGTAATAATCCTTTATTAGGTTAGGGTTTGTTGTGTTTGTATTGTATGTGCATTGTCCGTATGTTCCTGTGTTTGCTCTCAGATACGCTGCAGGTTTGATGGACGATGCTTTGTGTCAGGGTCAGGACCTTCAAAGCAATCGTGCTCTGCAAGCTCTCGTCGCAGGACTCAAAGCCTACAGCACGTGGGAGAACGTGACGTGTCTGCAAGACTGCCGTGAGTGTACTGGCGGCATGGTGAGTGCGCGCGTGTCTTTGCACCTAAACACACACATATACGCTGATACTCATGTCCTGTTGTGCAGAGACGTCACGGTGTCAAATACAAACCTCCTGAACTGTCAAAGAATAACTTGCATTGGTGTTTTTGTGGACAGTGTTGGCACTGACATGTTTTACATACTATAATCTAATACAATTTTAACTGGGATTTTGCTGCTGCTTCTTTTTCTTCTTCTTCTTATACATGATTTTTTTTTCTTATTAATTTTAAACCTACATGGAATATCTAGGACCATTACAGGACCATTTAAAATGATCTAGTCAAGACAAAAAGTGACAAAAATGAAAAAGAAATGATGACCAGTTCTCATTTATTTAAAACACAGTTTTCATATAAATGATTGTTTGCTTGAATAATAAATGTAAATATCAGTGGTGTAATCTTAATAGCCTGTGCTTTTTATTGGCTCATAGTGCTTGAGGTGTGAACAGCATGTATATGTTTAAAATGCGTGAAACCACAGGGCTGATGTACATTTTTGTTTTCACACGTCTGACATTAAATATTTTTGATCTCACGCAAACAAAACACATGGTAAGAAAATAGCTTGTGTTAAGATATCGTTTAAATAAATAAGGCTCTCATTTATTATCACACAAACAAGTATCATTATTACGATAACTCAAGTGTTGCAGCCGTTTATTTGTGACGATTTACATTCGTTTATTATTATTATTTGTATTATGTATACATTTATATTTGTATTTATTTTTTTTGTTTTCATATATCAACTTTCTGGCAATCATTCTAGCATCATTGCGGCGAGTTTTGCACCTCTCACATTTTCTTCAGCATTTTGTGGCATGTTTATTCCCATCCACTTATTTAACAGGGGCGAAAATACCACCAAAATTCAATATATGTGCGAAAGAAGGCCTCTGCATGAGCACTTGTTTAACGTATGATATAGTCAAGCAATATCACATGAGCAAGAGTGCCGTTTTTCCCAAATATTATCACGACTGATATTGAATTTCCATTAACAGTTTAATAGATATTAAATTAATTACATTTTAGACAGTGTATTGTCAGTTTTTGCTCTACTTCACCAACGTAAATAGTTCTAAACAAACTCTGAAAATCTATTTAAGTGGGCAAATATTGGAAAAATTAATTGGTCACAACAAAACATGTAATTTCTATTCAATTTTATGCTAACTGTGTGAGTTTGAGTCAGTACATTGAAAGTGGTCAGATAAAGTGTTTAACACTGTAAACGTTGTTCCAATGATTATATCAAATTTTAAGCAGATGATTTTTTTTAAAGGAATAGTTGACCCAAACATGAGAATTTGCTGAAAGTGTACACATCCTCAGGCCATCCAAGATGTAGATGAGTTTGTTTCTTCATGGGAAGAGACTGGAGTGGTGTGGATTACTTGTGGATTATTGTGATGTTTTTATCAGCTCATTCTGACGGCACCCATTTACTGCAGAGGATCCAATGGTGAGCAAGTGATGCAATGCTACATTTATCCAAATCTGATGAAGAAACAAACTCATCTACATGCTACATTTTCAGCAAATCTTCATTTTTAGGTAAAGTATTCCTTTCAGTGATGTCCACATACAGTATGTATGTCAAATGTGTATTTTGATTTGCTTTATTTCATGTTTAAATAGAAACTGTGGTTGATTTTCCTTCCAGGGCTTTATGATGGAAAACCGTATTCCGTCTCTGAAGTGTGACTCCGACGTCTTTGTCACATTTGAGGGCGACAACATGGTCATGCTTCAGGTATTCATAAATACTGCTTTAGCTAGATGACACCACACAACAAATGCACTCAAAAAACTGGCCAGCAAGTATTGAGGGGAAAAATGCTTGGTCACAAGGGTCATGTTTATTACCCTCCTTTTCCTTAAGGTTGTTATTTGTTTTCCTACTTATTTTAGAGCTATTCCCTTAATATAGTCCAATATCACATTCAAATACCCACGTTCAGACAAACAAGACAGTGTAAACAGAAAACACAGAGATATCTACACGATTACTGCTTGGAGGGGAAACTAGACAAGCGGCAATTCTTTTAAAAATATAAACGGTGTCTCACAAACTAAATTGAATTAAGTGGATTATGAAGGCATTAGAATAAAGGGGATCATTTTGATGCAATTGCACACAATTTAATCAGCAATAATGTGTCTCTAGCATCGGGACTGGTTATTAGATGACTGCTGAGGTAATTAGGTCAGCTTTGTGATTCATTTTGTGCTGGTACTGATTTGCACCACATCGATTCGGCATGTAAGACGACACACATGCACACATAACATGCATAGAGACTCAAACACAACGTCTGCATTCACAGCTTGCCGAAGCCTAAAGACATGTATTTTCTGCTGAAATTAGATTATGGCCTTCAGTACCAAAATAAAGTCATACAATTGAATCCTTGGAAACAGACCGATGGTGTTGTAATTTTAACACTAGAGAGTCTAAACATTGAGAAGGACAATATTCACAATTGCAGTTGAGAATTTTAGTTTTAATTACCATTTCTTAAACATGTACATTTGTCCCTCTAGTTTGGAATACTGGAGGGAATTTTGAAATATTACAGTTACAAAATATCTGTCTAAATTCTGTATTGTTACATTTAATGGTGCGATCAGAATTTAAACTCTTCAAGAAATGCAGATTAATATTTTTAGCTTTTTTCTAAAACTTGAGCTTAGTAATTGAGTTTTTGCATTACTGTAGTTTATATTTGTGTGCACATACACTACTGTTCAAAAGTTTGGGGTCGATTAAGATTTTTTTTTTTAATGTTTTTGAAAGATCTCTTATGCTTACCAAGGCTGCATTTATTTGATCAAAAATACAGTAAAAAAGTGAAATATTATTGCAATTTAAAATCACTTTTCTCTTTGAATATATTTTAAAATGTAATTTATTCCTGTGATGAATAAAAGCATTTCTTTCACAATTTCTTTCCTTCTGAAAATTCATCATCATGAATCACCCTCACGTGCTACAAAAAAGGGCAAAAAAAAGTTCCATAAAACGAGTTTATATGACTCATGTGCTATTGAGCAAAACTGAAGTCGTTCAGGATTTACAGAATGTTCCCTTCTGCACTCAAATCTCAGTTATGTTTGTACACACTAAATTTGATGTCAGTAAAGTTAAAGGTTATTTGTTTTCACATGTCTCATGACATTCTGCTGAAAATCACTTTGTTGTGTTCCACAAGGTTTGGAACAACATTAGGGTGAGTAAATGGATGACTGTTGATTTGAACCTCTCCTTTCCAACGTCTTTTCCAAAAATAAAAAAGCAAGTGTTGCGCACAGCCAGGAACAGCTGTTGTTTAGGAATAATAGTACCTACTATGCGTTGCCAAGTTTCTGATCATCCAGTAGGCATCAGTCATGTGTAAATGTGGGCATCATCCAAAAATGAAAATTTGCTGAAAATGTACTCACCCTCAGGCCATCGAAGATGTAGATTAGTTTGTTTCTTCATCAGATTTGGAGAAATGTAGCATTACATCACTTGCTCAGCAATGGATCCTCTGCAGTGAATGGGTGCCGTCAGAATGCGTCCAAACAGCTGATAAAAACATCACAATAATCCACAAGTAATCCACAGCACTCCAGTCCATCAGTTAATGTCTTGTAAAGAGAAAAGCTGCGCATTTGTAAGAAACAAATCCATCGTTAAGGTGTTTTAACTTGAGCCGTCGGTTCTGTCCAAAATACAAGTCCATAATCAATAATAGCTTCCTCCAGTGAAAAAGTCCATCACCTGTTGTCTCTCACATAAAAATCACACGCATATTTGTTTAGAGCTGCTGTTTTCATTTGTAAATGGTGCTTGATCTGTGCAGATTTCTCTCCTGATTTAGACAAGACGACTTTTTTACTGGAGAGCGCAATATTATGCATAGAGGACTCATATTGTAGCTGGAAGCAAAGGTTTGATGTTAAAATGTCTTAATGATAGATTTGTTTCTTATAAACACATAGCTTTTCACTTCACAAGACATTAACTGATGACTGGAGTGGTGTGGATTATTGTGATGTTTTTATCAGCTGTTTGGACTCTCATTCTGACGGCACCCATTCACTGCAGAGGATCCACTGGTGAGCAAGTGATGCAATGCTACATTTCTCCAAATCTGTTCTGATGAAGAAACAAACTCATCTACATCTTGGATGACCTGCGGGTGAGTATATTTTCAACAGATTTAGATTTTGGGTGAACTTCTGGCCTGCGTGTCTGGAGTTCTGAACACTACAGTAGTTTTTCATTGTACATCAAACAAACATCTCATGATATTACCTGTTTGAATCAGAGAACATATAACTAAATTCTCTTTAAAATGTAGCCTTCTCCCTTTGACTATTACTTTAATATATCGTAAAGCTGCAGTTTTGCTGTTTCAAAGCATACTTCAACAAGTTTTTGGCTATATTTGTGAGGGCTGTTATTTGATTAAGTGCTTTAGGCTAATGATTAACCAATGCCGAAGGTCATATTGGGGCATGTGAAAATAGAGGGTGCTGGGATTGTGGGACCAAACATTAAACCAAAGTCACAAGAACCGTGAGAGGCTCTGCCAGCCACTTTATTTCTCTTTCTCATTCCCGCTCTCAGATTGGTTTTGGGGACTTTTTTGTAGGACATCAGTCTAATGAAGTTATTAAGAGATTTTAGCGTCACCTGTCATGAGGGAAATTAGCATTTAGCTCCAAATTTCATACACATGACCAGCACACTGTTAAGTTTTGGCTGTGCCCTGAAAGAGTGTGTCCAATTCAGTTACATTGAGAAGATTGTTTTACAGTATGCAGTTGTACATAGTGCAGATGTGAAGGCAGGAGTAGAAGAGGTTCGATTTTGGCATATGTAGGGCAGAAACATACACAATGATTATGACACAATGAGTCATTTACTCTCTGTAAAGTAAAGACAAAGAGACTTTATTGTCATTGTACTGCTGTGCAAAACAAAAAAATGTTTTGCTCAAACATTCACATAAAACAATAAATATAAAAATGTCAATATAGATTACAAGTTTAAAAAGATACTTAAAAAAAGCAACAGACCGTTTAAAGTGTGCTGTGCAATTACAAATATAATTTATAGATGGTAACCAATCACAGGGTTTCCGCGGGTCCTTAAAAATTCTTAAATTTAGATATACATTAAATTTCAGTTAATAAAATAAAATAAAATTCCTTAAATGGTACAACAAAAGTCTTGATTATAATTATCGATGATTAAACTTCAAAAGGCTACGTTTTCATGTGATCCTTGTTGATAATATACAACAATATTTGGCCGAGATACAACTATTTGAAAATCTGGAATCTGAGGGTGCAAAAAAAATCGCCTTTAAAGTTGTCCAAATGAAGTTTTTAGCAATGCATATTACTAATCAAAAATTAAGTTTTGATATATTTACAGTAGGAAATTTACAAAATATCTTTATGGAACATGATCTTTACTTAATGTCCTAATCATTTTTGGCATAAAACAAAAAAATAATTTTGACCCATACACAATGTATTTTTGGCTATTGCTACAAATATACCCCAGTGACTTAAGACCACTTGGTTTTGCGCTCCAGGGTCACATATGAGCGCTGCCAGGTTGTTTTTATATAAATGTATCTCTAAAGGGTCTTCAGACTGTCTTCAGAAAAGTATCGATGGCATTTTCATTTCATCATACTTGTAATGCCTGATAAAGTATGAGCGCAGTGCTGCTTTGCATACAGCCGTTACCGGGGAAACCGCTATATTTCTGCTGCTCCAAAAGCGACAACTACTGGAAGAGAATAAATTTGCATTTTCAGTCAGCCCGTCTGCATTTTTTGTTCAGATCAATGTGAAAATCAACACATATGTTTAAGCAGGAAACATGCAGTGGTAAATGTGAAACAGTGGATTGATAAGAAGCTAATGTGTCTTCTAAAATCATAACAATTAAGACTGTAAGATTTATTATATTAATTTATGTTTTAAACTAATATAATAATTGATACTTTTGACTCATTCCTTTTCTTAAAAAAAAAATGGTTTAAAGGCTGAAATGTGAAGTTTATCATTTTATAAAACCTTGTTTTTGTGAAAACCTGTATCAGAACTGTAAATTATGTTTTTAACAGTCATTTTATGGTTTAATATGTTACCATAGACAGTGCCCTACCCTGCTCAAAAAGCCTTACATTTGATTTTCAAAATGCTGCAGATACCCTGAATAAGGAAGTGTTCAATAGTTGTACAGCTCTAGCAAAAAAGCTATTTTTCAGTCATGTAGTATAAGAGTAAATAATTCTGTATCTTCTACCAGAGGGGAGGATATTAAAAGAGGCAGTGTGCAGGGTGAGTGGAATTTTGGAGGCTCTGCTCCGATATCTGGACAAATAAATATCCTCAACTGATGGTAACTGTATACCAATGATATTGTGTGCCATTTTCATAACTTGTTTCAGAGTGCTTATTTTCAGAGCTCCTCTCTTGTACCACTACCATGCCAGGATGTGATACAATATGTTAGTGCACTCATTGCACATCAATAAAAGTTCAAAAGAAGTTTCTGAGGCAATCTTAGTTTCTTTAATCTTCTTAGAAAATAAACACATTGATGTGCTTTTCCGATGACAGTGGAGGTGTGTGTAGTCCAAGAAAAATCCTCTGTTATGTTCAACCCCAAGAATTTAAAACGGGATTCTCTCCACAGTCATTCAATTCATAAGCACAGGACCTAAAATCTCTTTTGGATCTCCTTTGTCTTCTTGGTGTTAAGGATGAGACTATTGTTGGAGCTCCAGGCTGTCACATTTTGTAATTTGTTCCTGTATGCATACTCATCATGTTCAAGATCAAGCTGATGACTGTTGTATCATCTACGTACACCTAAGTGTTGTGTTGTTTTGCAGGTGGTGGTACGAGAGCTGCTGACCCAGTACACCAAACTGATGGGGAACAACTTGGTGATGGGACTGATTAGAAACTGGACCAGCTCAGTGTCAGACAGCCTTAGAACCAGGTAAGAGGATAGATAGATAGATAGATAGTAGGGGTGCTCCGATTAATCGGCTACCGATCGCTATCGGCAGATAATCGCTTTGGGAAGTTTGCATCATCACTAAAGTTTAGAATTTGCATTTCTTTTTAAGTCTTGCTAGTGTTTAACCATTCAGCACTTGTGCGCTCTCGGTGCACTCATGCACACTCAAAGCGTGCACACATAAGGCCGCCTCACATACAGCTCAGCAAATCAGGCTTGTGCTGAGTGTAAGCTATTGTGCAGCAGTTGCCCCATTGTAAAAACTGCATGATCAAACATTTTAGGTGAGATAATTATATATTTTTGAAAAAATGTCTAAAACATGCAATTACAATAATAATGTAATACTTATTACATTATGTGCAGTTTTTACATTATGTGCAGTTATTACATTATGAGTTGCTACAATGGATGAATGGATAGATATATGTCCACATCTTTAATGATGTTCTGAGCTCAATCATGACATTTCGGGCTTAATGCTCTTCATTAGATAGCATTTGTCTGTTGGCTTCGCTGTGTAAGATCAGCTTCTATTATCTAGCCTCTAAAACTCCATATTCCAGAAAAGCCACACACACACACTGTTCAGCCCTGAGAAACCTGTCTACCATCGCTTGTGTTTACTCTCACAATTAGGTCACCAATTTAGCAATTTTGCCTAAGAGGAAAATTTGATAGGTGTAATTGTTTTCCGGCCTGCTATTCATAACATATTAACCAAAGCCGAGATCTTCAGTCGCCCGGCATACTGTAGGCTGAATAAAATCAGCTTTTATTTGTCTAGATGTGATTCTGACAGTACAGTGATTTTATACAGTATCTCTTTGTTTGACCGAGTTAATCTGTTTTGCTTTTGGCTGTTTCCTTGTTTATCTAGCTTTCTTGGCTTCAGCGTGGACAAAGTAGGAGACCTAATGTTCCTGCTGAAAGCGGTGAGCTACAGGGAAAGGGTGTTACAGCGCAGTCTGGCAAGTCGACTTTACACTAAGGTCAGTTGTTCTCACTGAATCACTGGAAACAAACAGAGTTTCCTCTCTGTGTGTTTTACTGCTGCTTATTTTAAAGCAGAGCAAGTGACAAGAGATCCATGGCAAGTGTGAGTAGCTGTGAAATGCTTTGATTGAATATTTATTGCCGTTTTTTTAAGTACCCATAGGATGACATTTTTTTAAGATTTAATATTCTAAGAACATTAAAATCCAGTTTTTTTTTGTTGTGATTATAATGTTATTTAAAGGTTACAAAAGACTTTTCTTAGAACATTCATGTAGAAATTACATTATAAGGACGTTCCGAGAATGTTGATCTCAGAACGTTTTCTCTCAAACTATATCAAATATTAATAAAATTAGAAGAACATTCCACAAACATTACTTTAGGAACAATACATTTATATAACTTTTAAAAAATGAGATCTCAGCAATGTCTCATGCTCACATTTGCCAAGATCCAAGGGCGCAGAATTTAGTAGGGATGCTAGGGACATGTCTCTATCAATATCCAGCGTCTACTAATTGTCCCTAGCGATAATTCTGATCAAACAATTAAATATATGTGTATGTAACCAATGTTGTATTTCGGCCGCATCTGAAATAGGTCATACCATTGATATTATCTGAGAAGTTAAAGTAAATATGCTAGAAAACTGCACGCTTTCAAGGATGCACATTTAATAGATGTGTGGAGCAAGAACAGATAAGAGAGCAGAAGTGTTTCAAACATACAAGCACAGTTCAGTTGAATGATGAAGTTTACTCTCTTTAACTTTACGTTGTTCTGCTGTTTTGTTCATCTGCTTCTCCCATTTGCTCTCTTTACATTGACTATCACTCTATAGACTAATATAATCAGATGCAACAATCAGTCCGTAAGTACATAGTTGTTAAGGCCACTTAATATAAAGTGGGACCCAACAATCATTTCTCAAATATTTATTACAAAATATACTGATAAACTGAACATTCACTTCAATGGTATGAGAGACTGGATGATTTCAGCTGATTTGCTATTGAACTGTCAGCAACTGAACTGCAGTGCTCAAACTATTTCAAATATAGTCAATTAAGCTACAAACTCGATCATAATGCTCAATGTTTCCATCTAACATGTATTTTGAGTGTTTCACTAGTTAACAGTAAACCTGTTAGCTCTCCTGAATATGTTTGCAGATGTGTTAAATGTTATCTTTGGAATGGAAAAAAATATATATTTTATTCAACATCATACTTTTTTCTCTTATTTCAGTTAATGTCATTAAACTAGCGAGCTAAGCCAGTAGTAGTGCTGACAGTGTCGTGTAAACATGGCTGAAGACGCAAAAAGCGGAGGAACAGACTAACCGATTCAATTGAGTGAGTCATTTACGCTGGAACCACTCCGATTGATTCAAACTCGTGATGCGATCATTCAGTTCAAGCGATTCACTAGCAAAAAAAATAAATAAAAAACATATCAAAAGATCCATTCGTTTTCGAATTTCGACATCGCTTGTAATGATGAAAGCGGAGTCCAGCCTGGGGTCGTCACATGTGGTTGCCGCACGCCCACCGGACGCTCCTTCGTCGAATCCGCCAGCCGAGCCGTTCTCAAATACACAAAATAATGTTCTTTTTAGCAACATCATATGACCCCTTTAAAAAGCACGTAGCCTATAGTGATGGGTGAAACAGAGCTTTTGAAAGTGAAAATGGCCAAGTATGGTGTCCCATACTCAGAATTTGTGCTCTGCATTAATCCCATCCAAGTGCACACACACACACCAGTGAGTAGTGAACAAACAAACACACACACATACTGTGAACACACACCCGGAGCAGTGGGCAGTCATATTGCTGCAGCGCTCGGGGAGCAGTTGGGGGTTCGGTGCCTTGCTCAAGGGTCTCACCTCAGTCGTGGTATTGAGGGTGGAAGAGAGCACTGGTCATTCATTCCCCCCACAGACAATCCCTGCAGGTACCGATACTCGAACCCGAGACCTTTGGGTTATAAGTCCGACTCTCTAACCATTAGGCCATGACTTTTGAAAGTCCGAATCAGTTGAACCACAGTTGTGTCGCAAAATGATCCACTGTTTCGAAATGCTCTTCGTATCGCGAATCATTTGAATCAAATCGGGACTTCGGAGCGCGAATATTTTTTCGATTTTTTTTTTATACAGTACAAAACATCAAACCATTAAGACAGTACATTTATAAAAAACAAATCAAAGAAAACCGAAACGAAGTATACACAAAAACAAATCCCCTAAGAAAATGAACCATGTTTTTTTTTTTAAAACCATGGTTAATTTTCAAAAGGGAGGTGTTGCCAGGTAAAAGAAAAAAGTTATAAATTTACACATAGGATGAATATGCAGTTCTCTCCTTAAACATGAAGAGGTCAAACAACAGATTAATGAGTTACTCCAAATTTCACAAAAAGCTTATGGACGTGATCATAATATAAGTCAGATATTGAAGTGAGTTGCTGTTTTTGTCACTCTTCTGATGAAGATTCATTCAATTGTTTGGCAATGTACCCACACACAGAAACTTTGGTCAGATTTTTTTTTTTTATGTTCATCCAATTTGTAAGTGACTTTTCTTTCTGTTTTAAAGATGTTTTCTTTGGATTGTTTGAGTACTCAAAAGAGAATATAGGAAAATATAACTTTATTTGTGTTTCCTGATAGCTAAATTTCACATACATAAACAAAAATCTGGCTCTAAACCTCTCTTTTTTTTATTCAAAGTTGGTCTAGACAAGTATATTGAAACTATCCAAAGTTCTGTTAATCCTAAAGCAGTGAATTCTATAGTTTCCAAAGTCGGACATCGCTTGTTATGATTTTCAAGGGCGTAGGAAATTAGTCGTGGTGCAATGACATGTCCCTATCAATATCCAGCAACTACTATCCTACACCCTTGCCAAGATCCTAAAGCATGTAATCAGATGTCATCTCTTCAAAATGTTTTTCAAAACAAGATTATTTTTACTATGCTGTTCACTTTCATTTTATAGTTCTCTTGCAGTCATCCTTTGTTAGAAACATCTGAGACTAACCTGATAAAAACACAAATGTTTAAATGTTTCCCTTTGAAACAGGAAGATTTTGTGATTTCTGTCTTCTGAATTAGTGCAAATTGAACCAGTTGTCGCATTATTTGCAACAGCTTGCATTTTTGTAAAAAAAAATGTTAACCTCAGGGGGAAAAGCTATATTAGCTAATCAATATCTCTGAGCACAAACAAACTGATCATTACATGTTCAACTGTCCTGCTGCTGTATTGCAGTGAATTGCATTTGTTAAATGAGCAGCAAAGGACTGGCCGTACAGAGCACTGGGACTTCAAAAGGAAAGGAAAGTTTGGATTTGTCAGAACTACAATTGATTTCAGTAATAAGAAAAAACACAACAACTATTCTATATAGGAATTGCTAGCAGAAACTCAAAATGCCTATGTTTTGCGTTTATGGATGCTCAAATCGGTCAAACCGAGATACCACAATGAGCTTTCTTCATGTACGAAAATTTGTTGTTCATAAGGGGGGAAAAGGCAAGAAATTGAGTGAAAAACGCAGGAAAAAGTGGCTTATAAGCCTGCGTTTGCTGTCAGGAGGAGCAGAGTCGGATAATGCTCGTGTGTGCAAATGGTTAAAATAAGATATAATAATATATTGAGATAAAGAAATTTATAAATAGGTACAGGGCTGCCAACTCTCACGCATTCAGCATAAAACAGTCAGAATTTACTCAATGCCAAACGCTGTGATTCATGTGCCCGTGTAGACTATAAACTCACCACACATCTTTGATCATTAAAGACACTGTTCAACTTCCCTTTGACTTTCTGATTCACTCTTACACTCAGTAAGCAACAGAAAGGTGCTGTGCATCTGATGTTTGTACAGTATTTCCACAGTGCTCAGTGTGTGTGTGCATGGGTTTGTGTGTCGAGATATATTTTCCTCCCCTGATAGCAAATTTCCATTCTCTCACCCTCCTCCCACACACTTACACACACACACACACACACACACACACAGATCATGCGCTAATTTTCTCTGAGATGGTGCTGATAACATTGAGATGAGGGGCTTTTATTCACACTTTACACGAGTGTTCCAGTTTGGGCTTTCATTTATGATATTAATACTGACTTAACACGCATGATTGTAACACATAGTAGCGGTCACAGATCACAGAATATGTATTGCATTGTTCAGTGCCTCAAATCAGTCATAGAGAGAGAGTCACAGGCACTGTAAGGAGATGCAAATAGCCAACTCTGTCAATTCAAGCACTTTTGTCCATTCAAAGCATGGCATAAAATCTGCCATAATATGATATTTTAATATAACAGTTGTTTTAAATCTAAAAAAGCCATTTTAATAGACTCCTATCATGAGAAATTACATTTTCCTTCATCTTTTGAGATAAAGGAGCTTGATGCACTATGAAAATGTACTGTAAATTTAGGAAATTTGTGCAGTTATGAATGAAGAATGATCAGATTAATAAGCATTTACTCTCAATAATGTGACTGTAGGAAAGTTCTCAGAACTTTAGCTAATGTTCCGGCAAGGTTCTATCAAATTATGAACAAACGTTCTTCTGGTTAACAGAACATTCATTGGAAGTTATCTCGTCTTTAATAATATTCTCAAAACGTTAGCACAAAAAACATTATGCATATTTTTTCCTGAAACTTCGGTTGGACATTCATCTAACATTTTTTTTCAAAATGTAACATTCGAAAGTAACATTCCCAGAATGTTTGCGAAACGATAACATGGAATGTTGGGGAAACGTTTTAAATCATTTTTAAAACTGGAACATTCCAAAAGAATGTTTTTGTACCTTAATTGGAACGTTAGAAAAACGTTCTTAGAACATATTTTTGTTAGCTGGGAAAGTTCTACCTTTCAGGTAAATAGATACATCACATTTTTGGTAGTTTGCTTACTCTAGAATGCAAATTCACTAGCTGAATCCAAAATATGATAATTTGAATGATAAATACATTTCTGTTTTATATTGTTTTTTGTCTTTCCTCTTTCAAGCTGAAATAAATATTGCCTTGATAGAAAACATCTGCCCGGGGGTGCAGCAGATTTTGGTACATCAAAGCACTGCTTCTCATTTCAAATGTGAAAGGAGTGTTTCTTAAAGACAAAGTGATTCATTTTATTTTAAGGGTCAGGGAGAAGGTGAAAAATAGTCATAAACCCCCCCCCCAGATTTTACTGTTTTTGATGCAAATAACTTGGACCTAAGGGGAAAAAATGTGTAATGCAACTCCCCCTTCTAATTTCACTATTATGCTGTTAATTTCTCTAATTGTGTTTCTGCAGTGACCTTGGAGCAGTTTGCTCTCACCGTACGAGAATGCCATATCAAAGAGGACCGTGCCTTGCTCACCAAGGTATGTGTGAAGTGCTGTCTCTCTGCTCTGTCTGCCGCTGCATGACACTCTTTTTGTCTTTTGACTCATCAGCCGGTTCCAATGGAAAGTTCTCAGAAACAACAACAACAGCCTCGTGCCCACTCAAAAAACAATAAACTGAGCTTCTCAGCATCGCAGGGAGATTTCAGAGGATTCCACTCTAAACCACGTGTTTGGAAAAAGCAGGCTGCAAAACTGAGAAAAGGGGCTAAATTAGTGTAAAGGGCCAGCATGATAAAGCAAGCTACACTTTTACATTTTACAAAAAAAAGAGTGGTGCTTTCCATGCAAAAGTCATCACCACAATAATTTGGTGTTCTGGGTTTTTGCTTACAGGCCCAAGTCTTTTGGGTGGGCTTTTTTGACTTGGGCCAGTAAGCAACCATTCAAAATACTCTAGCAACTTGGGCTGCCTCCCTAATAGTCAACTAAATGTTAGTTGATGAGAAGAGGCTTAGTCAACCAAAAATGTATTAGTTAGTCTCAGAAAAAACTGTCCACGTTAACAGCTGGTAATTACAGTAGATCAGGCAGGAAATCCAATTCATCGTCCTCAAATATGGCTTATCATTTGAAATTGAAACATGCATGTAGCAGCAACATGGCTGCTCGCTCTAATGATAAGCTTGATAAATGTGTGCTATTCAGCACATATCCAAATGTTTGTGTGGAGTGTGGGAGCTGTTAGTGTGCTACTGCATGACATGATTTTTTTCCTAATAACACTGTGATTTTTTTCCTAATAACAGCAGAAACAACTTAAAATACACCATAATTTTTGCTCATGCAGATAAGAGTAATACATCATTTGAAATTGTAAAGGGTTTACTTTCATTTGTGTCCACTCACAATAACAACAAAACATTGTGCTTTTGTAAAATAAAGAAAACAAATAGGATGTGCTTTCTGCCGTCTCGGTCTCCGTGAACTGGAATGCGGCACAAAAATGAATTGAAACTCAGCGTATAGGCTACTGCCTCACAGACATGAGAAATATATCTATAGAAAGCTTGAAATGTCTACTTTAAAATGAACCGATTCAAAACAAATACTCTCTGATTATGTAATCCGTATGAAAGGTGCATTTCTCTCTGAAGGCGCTTCATTGTAATGTGGAGATGGCGAGTCAGCATCGTCAACTTCATCTGTGCAGCCGACACTGACTCAGAAAACACTAGTTTATTCATAAATAATTAGCAGGCAGGAAATCCAATTCATCGTACTCAAATATGGCTTATCATTTGAAATTGAAACATGCATGTAGCAGCAACATGGCTGCTCGCTCTAATGATAAGCTTGATAAATGTGTGCTATTCAGCGCATATCCAAATGTTTGTGTGGAGTGTGGGAGCTGTTAGTGTGCTACTGCATGACATGGAGGTGCCGGCGCGATCACTGTGATTTTTTTCCTAATAACAGCAGAAACAACTTAAAATACACCATAATTTTTGCTCATGCAGATAAGAGTAATACATCATTTGAAATTGTAAAGGGTTTACTTTCATTTGTGTCCACTCACAATAACAACAAAACATTGTGCTTTTGTAAAATAAAGAAAACAAATAGGATGTGCTTTCTGCCGTCTCGGTCTCCGTGAACTGGAATGTGGCACAAAAATGAATTGAAACTCAGCGTATAGGCTACTGCCTCACAGACATGAGAAATATATCTATAGAAAGCTTGAAATGTCTACTTTAAAATGAACCGATTCAAAACAAATACTCTCTGATTATGTAATCCGTATGAAAGGTGCATTTCTCTCTGAAGGCGCTTCATTGTAATGTGGAGATGGCGAGTCAGCATCGTCAACTTCATCTGTGCAGCCGACACTGACTCAGAAAACACTAGTTTATTCATAAATAATTAAAATATCTCCATGCTATTCTTTTCGGACACATTCATAGTCAATATTGTTGCCGGTGCTTTGCAGCAAGCTTTAATACGGTATGCTATGTATTAAAGGCTCATTATGGCTTAAGCCCAATTTATACTTATGCGTCGAACCTACGCCGTAGCCTGACGTGCACCTCTCCAAAAATCTAACAGCGCGTCAATTCTACGCTGACCGCAAGCGCTGTGATTGGTCTGCAAGAACCCCTCCCTCCATATGTACTTGAGTTTTGTGTGTGTTTATGTGCACTTTAATATATTTTAATGTTACACCTTCTTATATAGAATAAAACAAAGCAAAGAACAAGTGTCTTATGATTTATTATACTACATAGCATTATACATCAGTAGTTGTCCGCGACAACCAATGTTGATCTGCCGTGGTACAAGTCCTTGTGGAGATTGAAAGAATGACATCTTCTCCTGTTCCTTTGTCTCCTTTTTCTAGTTTTAAATAATAATTTAATGATTTGATATTTATTTGCCACCATCACGGCTATAATGCTTCTCCGACGAGCCACTTCTTCTTCGGCTTTTGCCGTGGTACTGCGGGTTACATCAGCAACATGCCCGTGGACACTGCTGACTAGCGGTTTGCATGTGTACTGCACGTCGATGTAGACAATGACGCAGAAGTATAAATGAAAACTGACGCATAGCCTATGGCGTAAAGGCTACGGCGTAGGTCCGACGCAGAAGTATAAATCAGCCTTAAGTTCTCCACCTCCAGTATATACATAAGTAATTAAATTAATATAAACGTGTGATTAGTCGACTAATGGCTTAAATGAACGACTGCTAATGGACTAGAAAAATCTTTAGTCGGGGGCAGCCCTACTAGCAACCACTTTGAACACTTTAACAACTGCTTAGCAACATCCTAGCAACCACCTAAAACACCTAAGAAACCAATTAGCTTTTACCTTGCAACCATTCAGAATATTCTAACAACTACCACCTTAGCAACCACAAAGACAAACACCCTATCAATCACCTACAACACCCAAAAAACCAAGTAACAATCCCTCTCACAACCACCTAGAACACCTTAACCTTTTAACCACAAAGTAATGCCTTAGCAACCACCTAGAACACCATAGAAACAATGCCAGTGCAACCATTCAGAATCCAAAAGACAAACGTTTTGATGCAAGTGAAGAAAATTCTAAAGAAAAGCCCAAAAAAAGTCACAGTTGGCGGTTTTGCTTTCAAAAGTTTGTTCAGTTGCACAACGAACGGGGAAAAATCTGCACAGACATTTAGAATATCTCTTTGGATTTGAGACTTTAGTCTTTGCAACTTTACAGATCTTCTTTATGCACCAAGAGCTTGTAACACTCCAAAGAGAAAGGAAAAATTTAAATCGCATCATATGACCAGAAAATATTTCACATTATGGAAGTGAAATGTGTTCAAATACGTCATACGTTTACTCTGATTAGCCGAAAATGAAAATATCCATATATTGCATGAACTACTTTTATGGTGCTTTTTTGTCCTTTTAGGAGTCTAAATCTCTTGCTTACTTTGTATAAAAAGAGCAGAGTGAACATGCAGCCTAAGATCTCTGTATGTGCTACAGAAAAGAAAGTAAGTCATACAAGTTTGCAATGACATGAGGGTGAGTAAATGGTTACAGAAATGTTGAAGAAATTAGTTTCTGCTCTTCGTGGGACAGCTTTATGATAAAATGATTTCAACAGTCATTCATTGTGGCTTACGAGTGGATTTACACATTAACTGTCATTGGCAGTGATATGACGCAGCAGTATCAGGATGTGCGCTGCAGTCATATGAGTATCAGATTAGCCTCTGAGCACCGGAGCAGAACCACACTGATCTCAGACCTGCTGACAGCAGCTGTCAGGCCCTCTGGAGAGCAGCTAGCGTGAATAAATCTCAGATAATGACCTGGTTCCTGGCAGGTCATGAGGTGTGCTGTCACACTAGTCCTGTGATCGAGAGACAAAGCGCGCCAGTGAGGAACAGGAAAACCTCACTTCCACCTGTTTCTTCAAACTTCTGTTGCTGTTAGGAGCATGCTTACGATTCGCACAGTCATGGGACCTGTGATCTTACGTCAGTTTGACATTTCAAATTGATTGTTTCTAGCATCTGTCCAGTGCAAAAAGTGCAGATACCAGAAGTATTTTTGAACGTTTATGTTTGGAATGGAATACTAACTTAGTACTTATTGAATGCTGTGCAATACACACTATTTATTTATTTTATGCTTATTTAGCAATAAACCACAAATATGAAATGTTTATTTAAAAATGTAAAAAAAAGTTGTATATTTCTCCATCGCTTGTCATTCACAATGCTGTATGGAAATGTAGTTATTAAAGAAAAATTTTTTTATATAATTTTTGCTTAAAATCAAAGTTTGCAATGTTGTCATTCATTGGTTGGTTATATATTCATACATACAAATGGTTATATATATTTGATTAATTTGTGTGCGCACGACATTTCAAATTGATTGTTTCTAGCATCTGTCCAGTGCAAAAAGTGCAGATACCAGAAGTATTTTTGAACGTTTATGTTTGGAATGGAATACTAACTTAGTACTTATTGAATGCTGTGCAATACACAATATTTATTTATTTTATGCTTATTTAGCAATAAACCACAAATATGAAATTTTTATTTAAAAATGAACAGTTTTATATTCCTCCATCGCTTGTCATTCACAATGCTGTATGGAAATGTAGTTATTAAAGAAAAAAAAATTAATATAATTTTAGCTTAAAATCAAAGTTTACACAAATACACACAAATCAATTAAACAAAAAATTTTATAAATATGTGTGTGTGTCTGTGTGTATACACAAATACACACACACAAATTAATTAAACAAAACATTGTATAAATGTGTGTGTGTGTGTGTGTGTGTGTGTACTGTTTGTGAAAGTATTGTTTTCTGAGTGTAACTTAACTGTTTTAAAGGTTAAAAATGACTAACTTGACCTGGCTTTAACTGTGAAAAGCAAAGCATTTCATTCTAGGAAGAAAATATTCCTTCTGATATCAGCTGTAAATTAATTAAACAAAACATTGTATAAATGTGTGTGTGTGTGTGTGTGTGTGTGTACTGTTTGTGAAAGTATTGTTTTCTGAGTGTAACTTAACTGTTTTAAAGGTTAAAAATGACTAACTTGACCTGGCTTTAACTGTGAAAAGCAAAGCATTTCATTCTAGGAAGAAAATATTCCTTCTGATATCAGTTGTTTCTAACTAGTAAGTAGCAAATCATAGTTCATGGCGGTGACGTAACTAAAGCATACTGGCAGTTTATGGTTCCAAACTTCTTATTTCAAAACAGGAAAGGAAACTACTCTCGTCGATAGACATTTCTTGGGGTCTTTAAGCTTTTAATAATTACTATTCAGTTGTTCTGATGATTGTGCGTAATACGCATGGTTTCAGTTCCCATAGCTGACACGCCAACAAGGTGACTTCCATTTCAGACGAACCCTCGTTCGGCGTGGCCTGATAAGAAACTCAATGGCTCTGCGATAAGCCATTGATTCTCTGCTTTCCATATGAGGAAGGGTGCAGAACACAAAGAATGACAGCCAGAGAGATCATGTGCCTCTATATGTTTATTTTGCTTTACGGCGCACGGTTTGCTACAGGTCAAAGGTTATATTATTCCTCTTAGTGTCCATGCTTTACAACTGATTGCTTTGCATGCTCTGTTTTTTCCTGTCCAGCTCTTTGATGTATCTAGGTGGTTTGGTTGCTACCTCACCTCTGAGGAGAAGAGATATTAGATCGTACTGCTACTGTTTTTCCATCCCCTTCATCTTCTGTATAACATCCTGTACTCACTCAAGTTGGTGCATGTGAAGAGGCCTACAGCTTGTGTAGGGTCCTTCAGATATGGAAAAAAAATTACTTAACATACACGGTGGTCAGCAAGTATTTTCCACTTACATTTTTCGGCCTTGCATTGTGCTGATACTGAATGCTCTCAGCCTTAGATGGCGACACGCCATTCACAGACTATCTGGAGCGTATTGCACAAGAAAATAGTGGCAGAAATTGTGATTGATTGGTTTTAAACAGTTTCCAGGAGTCAGGGTACACATTTTTATCAGTCCACCGGGAAACAAAATGGCTTTCATGAGTTCCCAGGGAGTAATAATGAATGTTTGATCTGCCAAAGTCTGTCAAGTTCATGTCGCTGAATCTTTTAAATGTGTGTAGGAGTTTTGTTTGACACACTTAAGGCTGGAATACACTACACAACTTTTAAAATCTTTAAAAGCACTAGGCATCATACACTACCAGAGTCATTCTAAACACAACAAATGAACGCAGGAACATTTTCTGTTAAATCGGTCAAAATCTTCAGACTGGCTCTGACTTTTGGCAAATAGTGTCGACTCACCCAGACTACAAATCTGCATTTCTGGGTTACCGCATTGAATATTTTCTTTGACAACGGCCGTAAATTATAAAACGATTGTGAGGGGGGATTGCAAACTTAAACAACTTGATTCGCATTTATTTCCAGTTGAACCCAAACCTCAAACCGTAGCTGTAAACTGCTGGAATCGTCTGGATCCAGTCAGATTTGCTGAATTGAAAGTGCTGTTTGTTTCTGCATGTGAAACTTGCACATCAGGCCTGACAGACTTTTCAGACAGCGCTTGATTCGCAGCATTTTGACAGCATTCACTCCCTTAATTTGCTTCATATAAGCCTATATTTCAAAAGATCATGTTGATAAATAGGTTTGCATTGCATTTCACCAAAACGATTGGGAGGGGGGATTGCAAACTTAAACAACTTGATTCGCATTTATTTCCAGTTGAACCCAAACCTCAAACCGTAGCTGTAAACTGCTGGAATCGTCTGGATCCAGTCAGATTTGCTGAATTGAAAGTGCTGTTTGTTTCTGCATGTGAAACTTGCACATCAGGCCTGACAGACTTTTCAGACAGCGCTTGATTCGCAGCATTTTGACAGCATTCACTCCCTTAATTTGCTTCATATAAGCCTATATTTCAAAAGATCAAGTTGATAAATAGGTTTGCATTGCATTTGCAGTTTCTGCTAGGGCTGTTTGATTCCAAAAGTTTTGGAATTGACTCTGCTTCCAAGAATCGATTCCTCAGTGTTGTTTCTGATTCTTTTTTAATTCTTTTTTTTAAAGATTGGATGAATATGTTCTCCCTGTGGCTACATGACATTACGCATATGACATTACATGTTACCTTGTTTTCAGTGTCCTTAGTATTATAATGAGATCAGTGTCTATTATGTCTTCATGTAGTCCAGAGTGGCGCTCAAAATAGTCCATTGTGGACAACACAATGTTTCACCATTTAAGACATTTTAGACACCTAGAACAAAACCGTGTTTGTGTATCAATGTCTGTATTGTGTTTTAGGTGCAAAACTTTAATGTAGGAAACTTGTTCAGGACATAGGTTAATCAATATTTGTCAATCGTATGCTATTCGAAATGCAGGATCACAGAGTGACAACAAACCTCACTAACTTAAGTGAATGAAAGGTAATAATCAGCTATGTGTTCACAAAATTGACTCTATTTGAATGTTTTAGCGTGACATATCATGACATGGAGTTGTCATAGAACGGCTGCGACTTACACGTAATGCATTTTATAATTTGTGACTATTTAATGTGCATTGCAGTGCAACTACTGCAGCCTGTTAATATTAAATATGCATCAGATGCAACATGTGCAAATCAAGCCTTTGTGTTAAACTGTGTTGCTAATGTGTCTTTTCTGTTGCACTATTGCATATTTTCCTGTTTCTCCTACAGTTCTGCCTTCTTCACGGCACTAGTCTGGTGTATCAGGAGAGAGCGTGGTACCTGGAGCACAACTACCTGACCCCCAACACCAGCCGACAGATTCGCAGCCAGGTATTAACTCATTTGACAACCCGTTCTCATTACCAAGAAACTGAAGCATTGTCAAGCACACTGTTAGCAGACGCTAAAGGTGTCGCTATATCAATGAACTAGGAACTCGTTTTCAAATGGAAAACATTGGCATCAATGCACAGACGTGATGGGAATTGGAGTATGATATTGTCATTATGACATATATGTTGTGGTATGATTTGAACAGCCACAATAATTCACAATAATGCGCCATTCTATAGTTCAATTGTATATTTTGAATGATATGCGACTACATTCAAATAGCAGGGACATTTTTAGCTATTAAAACCTAAAGTTTCGATTGGTTCTTTGCATGAAGATATTGTACACCTTCAGAGCACTTGGAGTGCAACACGACTCATTTGTAATCCATTTATACTGCTTTCTGGTCAGTTTTTGCAATGCTGTGACTGTACTTTTATCTGACTGTTATGCGTTTTATATTGTTGATAAGTAGTTAGGTTTAGGGTAGAGGTGGGGTTAGGTACTCAATAATATCTATGGAAGTATAAACACATAAAAATCACGTCTAATTTTACAAATGCATGCAGAGAATTATTTTTTAAATGTTTCTAAAATGTTTAAATGTCCTGTTTTCTTGTCATGATTTGAACGTCATGTAAAGGTTACAAAAACTTTTTTACAACATTCTGCTAACATTATTTCTAACATTATTTGAAGGTTTATTTTTAATATTGTAAGAACATTGAAATGTCCAGTTGTGTTGTCATGATTAGAACGCTAATTTAAGGTTACAAAAATGTTTCCTACTAACTTTTTCACCCAAAATATATTATTTGATCTTTAATTTTTAATATTCTAAGAACGTTTCTTGTTGTGATTGGAACATTTAAAGGTTATAAAAAAAGTAACAAATAACATCATCAGGACGATTTGAGAATGTTGTTCTTCTAAGAACGTTTTCTATGAGAATGTATATTCATAATATATCAAATATTAACTCTTTCCCCGCCGTTGACGAAATTTTCCCTCATTTATGAGACAACGCTTCCCCGCCAATGATGGAATTTTCTGGCTTTTTGTGTTTTCACTGGTGTACGGTAGGGGGGGCTATTACACATCTTCGGAAAGAGTATTGAACGTCTGAATCGAAACATGCCAAGAAGTAGAAAAAAACGATTGCGTATGTAAGCAGATGGATATGCAAAATAATGCAACCATCAAACATTAAACAGCATAGAAATCAAAAATGCCTAACGTTACCGAATAAAATGATGATCCAGGAAGTGGTATAGGATCGTGCAAGCTTTAGATGTGTTGATGGAAGCGATCTATTCCATCTATGTTTTGATCATCGTTCTGAATCTGATCCAGACATAGTCTTTTACAAAAACAGTTTTCTCAGCTTTTTGTTCAAAATGTTGCTTTTTTCATGAAACCTACCCACATTGAAGCTAGAAAAGAAGCTATTATAAAATGTGTTTTTTTTGTTTGTTTGTTTTTTTAAAGCAGAGGCTCTGTTCTTTGTTTTGACAAAACAAATTGCATGTTCAGATATATTTATACAACAAAATATTCTGGGTGCCATTAAACTTTTGTGAAAATTATCAAAAATACTGGTGGTGGCTGGCATCTTTAAAAAAACTTGTCTGAAGGAGGGACTTTGTAGAAAACGAAGCATTTGAGAGAGGCGGGGCATAGAGAACCTACAATAATGTACAGTATTTGAAAAATAATGTGTTTTTTGAACATTAAAGCATGTCAACATATTCTGTTACACCAAATACACAAAATAATTATCTTTAAAAAAGCATCATATGACCCCTTTAAGTTATATTAATGTTAGGACAAAATGTTCTTAGTGACAGTTAGTGAGAACTTTCTCTGTTGGCTGGGTACATGCATCTTGATCTAAAGCCTTAGGCAAGCAATTGAAAGTAATGTAGTTGGTCGACGCTTAGGAATACCTTTAGCATCTTAATAAGTGACCATGCTTCAATTTTTGACACATTGGGAGCGAGAATGGGTGAATTTGGCCAGCAACCACATCAGGAGGGTATCAGCATGCTGTCAATCAGTCTTTAGGCAGTTAAGGAGGCACAAAGCCTTTCTGCCGCCCATCTGAAGCTGTTTTGGATTAGACCTCCTCATTAACCCTTCGCACATTAGCCGGAGTTTACAGAGAGTGGCAGAATGTGAACATTACCATTGTCCACCTTGAACACACACACATAAAGTGGCCAGTTGTTCACAATTAGCTGTGATTAAACAGCCAGGCGGCCTCATTGGGGTTCTCCCACACAGGAGCCGAGAGGACAGCAGGGTCGACACCGGTCTGTCAGTATGCAGTCAGCAGGTGCTTTACTGCATGTTTACCACTTGAGCAAACCCAATACAGCCGCTGTCTCTGTGCAAACAACCCCCTCTGTTCTCTCAGAGCGACTGCAGCGGCCGCCGCACGTGACTGAAGGCATGTGCTTACGGTTCCTTTCAGCGCGCTCATATGAACTATTGTTATATGTTTTCAATGGCTTATTGAAGATAATTTATCATGTGACAGGCTGCATAACGTGGCGAAAATAACCCGATTGCTTGTTTATAATTAGCTGCTGTTCACTTAAGGACGCGCATAAGAATCACAAACCAGATCTCTGGTATCTCGACTGTTCCTCCTGGACGGCACTGAGATTAAATGAAGAGCAAATCGGGACTTTGCACATTTGGCCCCAGTGATGTCAAATGTGTCAAAAGATTTTAATGTCTCACATTGTGCTCAAAGTGTGCAATCAAAAGTTTCAATATGAACAGTTCTCAGGCTAAATGATCTGAGCTGTGTTGTGATAAGTTATGAAAATGTTATTTCTGAATGTTATCTGAACATTCAAAATGTCCAGTTTTTTAAAAATGTTTTTTCTTGGTTATACAAATGTTAAGGGAATGTTCCATAGCAAATAGGGGTGCTCCGATCAGGGTTTTTGAGGCCAATCACCGATCGCCGATCACAGAAAGCAGTATCTGCCGATACCGATCACCGATACCGATCTTTTTAAAGCCTTCTTTTTATCATTTATAACTATTCATAGTGATACTCCAATCAGGATTTGTAGACATTTATTCAGGGCCTGAATTTCATTTTTGAAAATGGGGGGAATTCCCCTCTTAGGTGTC